TTTTTCAATGACTTTGCAAACGCTGACTATTTTTCAATTACCAGTCCGAAAACTGGCTAGCCAAGTAGCCGTTGCTATTTTCACCTAGTTCAGTGCCCATATGAGTTGAGTTCGTTGAGTTTGTATCCTAATATTGTTTTCTTCAATAGTATACTTTTGTAATAGCAGTATTTGATTTTAAATGTAAAATAAGAATAATATTGAAGAAGAATGATATTGACTCAAGAATCAGAAATATTAGTAATTTCAAAAAAAAAATGTAAATAACAAAATAAGAAGTTACTTGCGGCTCAGTATGTAATAGATCATCAAATCTTTAATTTATAAAGAGAGTCTCCCTCCAAATCTGAAATTGTTGGAACTTTCTCCTTGGCATTCATCTCAAAAATTTAGTTTAGGAGAATAATAGATGTAATTAATTTCATAAAATTCTCCTTTTAGTGGCGGTTGGGACTATACGATATATCTTGTTAAGATTGCATGTTTTAGGTGAGACAAGCAAATTATACTATATTGATTTTATTATTATATGGCAAAAATAGAAGAGCATTCCTTTAAAGAGTAAAAGCTCTATTTGAGACTTCTTTAATCAATACAAAAATGGATATAAGTTATATTAACCGACAATATAAACATATCAATTTAATTGGTTATATATAGTAGGTTACTCTTCTATTTTTTAGATTGTCATATCAAACTTGCTATGAAAATAAATTTACCTGAGATTTACATGTTATTGTAAGTAACTTAACCAGATGGTATAGAAAATCTATGCACTAACCGTGCACAAAACTTAAATTCTACAAAAATTAAAATATCATACATCTGACCACTCCTTCTTTGCTACATTACATGTGTGCAAGAAAATACTTAATCATTTCCCATTCTTCCTTAAACAACATTCTGACTTCTATCTAACAATACTTATTTTCTTTTTCCTTTCTTACCTTCTGTCAAAAGCAAGTCCTACATGTACATTTTTTGCATAAATAGCATTCACATTGCTCTTTTGCTCATATCAAATATCTAGTTTCTCAAAAGAGTTAAAAGGCATAAAATGTATCCACTTCAAACTCACTAAATCTAAATGTTATACCTGCTTCTGCTGCTAATAACACTAAGCTAACAAAATTAGCAGTCAAGTCTATGTAGCCTGTGATGTTTCACTATTTTCCTCTGTTGCTGGTGGAGGAGGAAATGATGAATCAGCAGACGCGACGTTTGTCTTTGGAGGGCTGTATTTTTTCAGTAGCCTATCTTTGTTTTCCTTCCACCATTCTTCTGCTTGTTGCTCCGCGAACCTCCGTTTACTGCAGGAAATTGTCCAATCAACAAACAGTACAAAGATGTTGATTAGGTACTCCCTCCGTCCCAGTTTATGTGATGGTTGTGTTTGACGTATTAAGATGACAAGAAACAGTACAAACTTGTGGTTGAAAACAGGTCATAGGCATTTATGTGGCTATACATCGTTTTAAACGTATATAGTTGAATTGTTTCTAAATATAGAAAGCTGTCACTTTATTGGTACCTAGTTTATCTGATGGTTGTGTTTGACATACAAAGATGTCAACAAACAGTACCAACTTGTGGTCGAAAACAGGTCATAGGCATTTCTGTGGCTATACATCATTTTACACGTATAAAGTTAAATTGTTTCTCAATATAGAAAGGTGTCACTTTGTTGGTATAGACTAAAAAAGAAAGTGCGCCAAATAAAATGGGACAGATGGAATACAAGTTATCAAATCTTAGTTTAGCAACAAAGAGATTTTAATGAAATACCTGAACCTAACGCGCTTGAAGATCTTGGTGCCATTTGTAAGTTGAAGTAGAGTAACGTAGACGCCCGGTTCAAATTGTTCAATAACTTCCTTTTGTCCCTCTCTTTGAGCTTTAGGTGACCCTGAGACACTTTCCGCGCTTGATTGATGTACACCTCTTGTTTCTGAAGCTGATTGTCCGTGATTTTCACGTATAGTTCCATCAACATTATGTGATGTTTCTTGAACTCCAGCAGCATCCCATTGATCATTTCTAATGACAGACTCAGAAGATAGATTATTTCTATGTGTTGGCTTCTGTTGATTATAAGACATATCGGATGACAGAGAAGTGTTGTCTTCAGATGCTTGGTTTCCGAATGTATTAAGAAAAGATTCAACCTGAGTTTGTATGGATTTCAGGGCTGAACTCTCAGAGATATCAGGAGGTAGTTCTTGTGTCATTTCTTTCAACTGAATAACAAAAGACGCGATAACACGCTCCATTATCATGACATGAATACTTTCCCAATGCATAAAAATGTATAATACAAGACACAACAATTTCTATGAGTTCTAATATTTTTTAAAAAGAACATGTAAGTTTCAGTCCTAGATATGTAAAATCAAGAAATCTTTTGCGGCAAAGCTCATGAAAAAACTTCTATCCTAATTCTCATAGTTGAAGGGGAGCCTTGGACCAACGGTCAAGTTGTCTCCTTGTGACCTATAGGTCACGGGTTCGAGCCGTGTAATCAGCCACCGATACTTGTATTAGAGTAGGTTGCCTACATCATACCCCTTGGGGTGCGGCCCTTCCCCGGACCCTGCATGAATATAGGATGCTTTGTGCACCAGGCTGCCCTGCCCTAATTCTCATAGTTAGACGCATGTCTGATAAGCATAGTTTCCTATATTTTCTTTTCTGTAGACAGTTGCATTAAACTGCTACACCATATATACAACATATGTGAATTTTGATTTATCGATATAACACAAATCATAAGTCAAGCATAAACAGAAGAGAAGCAATTTGAACATTACTTGAGCAGTAATAGACTTCATGGTTTCCACCGCGATATTACACTTTGATGCTCTCTCTGCAACCAACCTAGATGATTCTTGAGAACTTTCCTTCAATTTTTTGATTTCAGCATCTTGTCCATCACTTTTCTGCTTTAAACTTTTGATCTACATATATAAATGTGACAACTAATAACGATAGTGCTAGACATTAAGTTAATCAACAGAAGGATAAATCTTCTTGTTTTGTATGTGAAAGATTTTCCATACCTGGTTTTGCAATTTGGCAACTTCTTGGTGTAATACATCATTTGTCTTTCTAAGACTATCGATTACACCCCTTGAAAAAACAGGAGCGGGGGAGCGCGGAGGACTTGGTCTTCTAGAGTACGGTGAAGCAGGTCTAGAGTTGGATGAAGGAGGTTGAGATTGAGATTGCGATTGAGAGTGAGATTGAGGCTGAGGTTGCGCGGTCACAACAGGCTTCAACGCATGTTGAAGAGCGCTAAGTGAACTTGGAAAAGCGATATCTTTTAATTGCAAAAGTGATGGAACTTGTGAAGCTCTCACTATACTTAGAGAATCTGATTTGATGCCAGGCCTAGTAGACTTAACTTCAAGGTACTTAATCGGTTCTACAGTGGGTGAGAGCAAAACCCGTGATGTTTTTGGCTCGCCTCTGTCTAACTTACTATTCTCTGGTCGATGAGAGGAGTTAAATTTCTTATCATAAAATGAGGAACTTCCTTCGGAAGCCTTTTTCAATTTCATGTAGCAAGATTCACAAACGCGATGTGGTTTTCCTGGTGTCGGAGCAAGTGCAGCTTTGAGTGCTTTTTTTGAACTGCAAGCATGACAATGAACTAGTCCACAATTATAACAGTTATGCCTCTTTCGAGTAAATCCAAATGCTTGTCGACAACCTGAGCAAACAGATTGATCTGCTCCTGATACCCACTTATGAATGCAAATACTAGCAGTGTAATTAGAGCCACATGCTATGTTCTTCACATGCCTGTCTTTTAAGGCCTCAACTAATGTTGGAGCGTTCCGATCTTCTGTATCACCATGACCTAACCTTCCGTTAGCGCCTTTTCCCCACGTAAAGACTTCACTTCTTGATGTAAGGACAGCAACATGGAATGCACCACATACTATTTCTTCGACGAATTCACCTACCAATTTATCTTGTACAAGGGACGGGACCTTTCCATCGGCCTGTGGATTGCCTAGCTGACCATATGCATTGCTTCCCATGATAAAGACATGACCGGATGTGGTAAGACCAACGGTTATATTATGTCCGCATGCTAACTGATGGAAGTTGTAATCGATAATTGCAGAGACACAAGTCGGAAGCAGATAAGTTTCCTTATTTCCATGACCTAATCTATTCTTATCACCATCTCCCCAAGTGAATAACTTTCTAGTGGGCACATTTCCACAGTTATGGTTTGTGACTTCCACAATAGCAGCCGTGTGCCACACACCACACGCAACTTTAATCGTCTTGAGTCCGTTCAACGATTGAACTTCCTTGGGATACAGTACACTTTCACGATCGCCATGACCTAAAACTCCAAATGATCCATCCCCAAATGTGAATAGTTTTCCATTTGCAGTTGCCAAAGCTGAATGCCACGTGCCACACGCAACTGATAAAACTTGAAGCCCTTCAAGAGGACCGGAAACTCTTTTAGGAATCCAATGGCTAACATCATTGCCATGCCCAAGAAGTCCAGCATTGTGAGTTCCATCTCCCCAAGTATATAAATCACCCAATGTAGACACAGCACAGGTATGATACTCGCCACATGAAACAAAATCGACGTTTGTAACAGCCAGAAATTCAACAAGCCGAGGGCGACTAAAATCCTTTTCAATTCCATGACCTAGCCTGCCACCAGACTCTTCTCCCCAAGTGAAAACCTCTCCTTGCCTTGTAACAAGAGCAATGTGTCGTACCCCACAAGCAATTTGATGAACATCAAGAACCACGTTCGACTCCAAAGGTTTAGGACTAAGTACATCATGTTTAATGGTAATTGGATTCCCGGCTCCATCTTTTGACACTCCATCACACCAAATTTCCCCCCACACATAAACATCACCTAATGATTCTATGTCATCTGGCCCGGAACCCCCACTCGAACAACTTGGAGTGCTAGAGACACTAATACGGAAACCATCCGAACTTGTTCTTACTTGCATATTTCCACGTTCAGACCCCACATCTGAGCTTCGAACACTCAAGGAAGTTTCACCACTATAGTGATCAGCAGATGTCCAATCCCGAGCAATAGTTTGGCTGAAATCTAATGTTGAACCACATGGATGGGTATTTTGTAACTGCATATAAAATCATATTGAGAGGACATCAAATCTGTAATCACTCGTCGATATAATATGCAAGATAGATCTGACAAAACAAATATCTGGTTGCTTTGACCTTAACTATGAAGCTCGAAAACTTACATCAGAAATATCACTCTGAGTACGTCTACTATTACGAGCTTGGCCAGCTGAAATTAAATTCTTTAGACCAGCAATCCAAATCTCTGCTTCAATTTTATCCTTGCAAATCTTCAGAAAGAAAATGATAATTAACTTTCACTATAGTAAACCTTATTCAAAACAGCATTCACGACAGAAAAAAATGTTAACACGAAAATAAATTAATCTGTTCACTAACCAGATCTAGAGATCTTTCACCATTATTGTATATAAGGGAAAATGACAAGTACTCCTTCTCTGGACGCAAATATCTTTTAAAAACAGGCTGCATAGACATATCCACAGGCAAAAGTTTATATATTACAGTATATCTCGTCGATAGGTGAAAGAAATCTAGACATATAATCATTAACTCACAGTTCTCTGGCCAGGAATAATTTTTGAAACTGAAGATAGCTTTAAATTCCTTTCTGCTCCACGAGAGTACCAAATTAACGTTGTTTCATCCTGGAATTATCAACAACAAAGCTTTAATCTTCAACCAGAAAATTAACGATTAAATTTCGTGCAGAAGCTCTCATATTGCAAATGCTGTCTAAAACAAAAGGCACATTGCTAACATGATATGAAGCTGAGAAGTAACACAATCAATTACCGGAGAAACTCTGAAAGGGCAGAACTTAGGCTTCCCCTTCCGGCTATACTTTATTAGTTGTGTACCTTTCTTCAAAGCAATTAGCCCCTTCAAAAGACAGTTTTAAGTGAGAAATAAGCATATCAGGCATATTGATCATTGGTTAATCAATAACTTTACGATAATTATGCTGTAATGTATTCGAAAAACAACATGAAAATTCTACATATGCAAAGTCATGAGAAGACAAGGATGCTTTTGCAAAATGATTCTCTTTCTTACATTGCTAATTGTAGTTGAGTTGGTTCAATTCTATGTTGCATGGACTCTCCAAAATAATGTCACACATGTGTGGGATCCTCAAAATTTATACTCCCTCCGTTTCAATTTATGTGAATCTATTTCCTTTTTAGTCTGTGCCAAAAAGAATGAC